TTTTAATTGATGAACTCTTTCTTATTATAATTTTATAATATTATGAACAACCTGAAACTTTAAGAAAAATACAATTTCAACACAAAGTTTTAACATGAACTTGTCTGTAAACAGGAATAAGTCCATTTTTGTTGTAAAATCCTGCACTCGGCTCCACTTTTCTCATGTTGGACATTTTTCTGATGAGGGTGTCACGGTCAACAGTCAAAACGATCGTCCTTTAAGAGCGTTTGGAAAGAGACAAGTCTTCATTTGTGCTGCTCTGGTGGGAGGGGCCACGTACAGAGACGCTGGAGACGCTGCTGTGATAAACACCACAGAAAATTTACAAGATTTTAATAGAAAATATCATTCAAATATTTTAGTAGAAAATCAGCTGAGGGCCAGATTAAAGGTCTTGGAGGGCCGGATCTGGCCTCCGGGCCGTATGTTTGACACCCCTGGTCTAGTGTTTTCTGATTCCTGACCGAGTCACTGGAGAGAAATAAAATTGAGCAGAGACACTAGGCGACGCCGACCTGGCTAGAGTTAACTATGACATTCATGAGATTAATCGCAATTAAACATTTGAATCGACTGACAGCACTACTTTAAACTCTTTTGTGTTCAGTAGGGACGGACATTCGATGAAATGTTCTTAATCGATCGTCGGAAGAATTAACGATCGATTATCGATTAATCATTAACGTTTTTATATTAAAATGATCATCATTATTATTACTATCTGCACTAATCTGCATAAATAAATTCAACTTTACGACATATAAACATAACGACTCTAGATCCACATCAGCTGTTTGACATTATAATGTGTTTAATTCAGTTTTGTTCAAATCTCACAGAAACAAAACTTAAAACCACATCACTAATTTACATAAACTAAGTGAAGATAAAACTCCAGCTCTTGTGTCGCTGATGTGGTTCAACTTGTGTTGGATTAAAAGACATGACTCAGGTGAATACAGGTCAGTGTGACCAGATTTGTGTTTGTCAAAACCAGGACAGCGTACGGGGGGAGGGGGGCGGGGCCTCGTCATCCACATTGAGCGACTCTCACCTGGAAAAACTTTTTCCCACTGGACACAGAAACATATGTGCTGCTTTATCCACTGTGCACATGGACTCACACTTGTCCCAACGCAACGGAAAGTGTGGAATTTCTTGTCCAAATCCTGGTTAAATCCACATTTGTGCTTCGGTTCGTTACAGACTGACCCACTGTTTGTGTCTCGCTCCTTCTGATGCAGAGACACATGTACACACCTGTTTGGTCACGACACACAACACATACATTCAGTTTGTCGATTAAAATTAACGTAATTGATGAAACTGTTAATGATCAATTATCGATTAATCGACTAATCATGCCCATCCCTAGTGTTCACTGTGCATTGTGTCGCTATTCCACCACGGAGATACACGTAGAACACCCCCCAGCACCGCAAAGTATCAATAGTAACCTCCCTTTTTTGGTTTACGACTCAATGTCCAGCACACGTCCAGTTCCCTACGCCGCCAACTGTAAATGTGAGCCTCATGACGCTCTGCTCTCCATTGTCTCCTCTCCTCCTCCCTCCTCCCTCCTTCCTCCTCCCCTCCTCCTCCCGCTTACAAATGTCCGTTCTCACAGCCCAGAAGACTCTCCTCTCCTCCTCCCACTCCCACCTGCTGCCGCTGCTATCTTCCGCGCGCTGACCGTCCGCTCTGCTGTTCTGGCTCTGGGAGGAGACCGTCTGTGCAGCGCGCGGAGCTGGCAGACACGCTCCGAGCCCCACCAGCGCCGCGCGTGTGTGTGTGTGTGTGTGTGTGTGTGTGTGTGTGTGTGTGTGTGTGTGTGCGTGAGAGAGAAAGAGAGAGCGCGCTTTTTCAGACGCCTCCACTAATGAATTATGTGTTAAAAGGACATTTAGGGGAGTTTGGGACGAGTTTGCACGGAGAGAAATTAGGTGGGAACTCCGAGGAAGAAGCGGCGGCGGCGGCGGCGGCGGCGTTAGCAGACACGATGGCGCCTTGGAGTGGACGGAGCGAGTGTGACTGAAGCAAACGCGAGCTCATGTCACCGTATCGTTTGTTAAAAGGAACTGATGTCGCCCTGTGCACCAACGACGATAAAAATATATCACAACTGAACCTCCTGTGTCCCCAGAGTCTCCACCTGCACACACAGAGACAGAGACACAGAGACACAGAGACACAGAGACAGAGACACAGAGACACAGAGACACAGAGACACACAGAGACACAGACAGAGACACACAGAGACACACAGAGACACACAGAGACACACAGAGACACACACAGAGACACAGAGACACACACAGACACACACAGACACACAGAGACACAGTCACACAGAGACACACACAGAGACACACAGAGACACACACAGAGACACACAGAGACAGAGACACAGAGACACACACAGAGACACACACAGAGACACACAGAGACACACACAGAGACAGAGACACAGAGACACACAGAGACAGAGACACAGAGACACACACAGAGACAGAGACACAGAGACACACAGAGACAGAGACACAGAGACACACACAGAGACAGAGACACAGAGACACACAGAGAGACACAGAGACACAGAGACACACACAGACACACAGAGACACAGAGACACACACAGAGACACAGAGACACACAGAGACACACAGAGACAGAGACACACAGAGACACAGAGACACACAGAGACAGAGACACAGAGACACACACAGAGACACAGAGACACACACAGAGACAGAGACACAGAGTCACACACAGAGACAGAGACACACAGAGACACAGAGACACACACAGAGACAGAGACACAGAGTCACACAGAGACACAGAGACACACAGAGACACACACAGAGACAGAGACACACAGAGACAGAGACACACAGAGACAGAGTCACACAGAGACAGAGACACACAGAGACAGAGACACAGAGACACACAGAGACAGAAACAGAGACACAGACACAGAGACACACAGACAGACACAGAGACACAGAGACATAGACACACAGACACACAGAGACACAGACAGAGACACAGACACAGAGACAGAGATACAGACACAGAAACACAGACACACAGAGACACACAGAAACAGAGACACAGAGACAGACACAGAGACACACAGACAGACACAGAGACACACAGATACACAGACACAAAGACACAGAGACACAGACACACAGAGACAGAGACACAGACACACAGAGACAGAGACACAGACACACAGAGACAGAGACACAGACACACAGACACAAAGACACAGAGACACAGACACACAGACACAGAGACACAGACACACAGAGACAGAAACACAGACACACAGAGACACAGACACAGAGACACAGATACAGAGACACGTCCTGCGTTTGTCTCAGTTCATGTTCATGTGAAGCTCAGAACCTCCAGAATTCCCTCCCTGAGCTGCAGAGGCTGCACCAGCACTGACTCAGGACGAGGCTGGTATCATTACGATACATACCTCGATACACAGGCCACGATACGCATCTCGATACAGTGAGCTTTCAATTCGATACGATATATTTCAAACCAAATGGATACAGTTTGTGATTCTAAAAGTGTTTGATAAACATTATAATCATCAAAAATGTCAAACGTCAAATGTGAAAATGTCAAATGTGTCGCAATAACGAGTTTCCTTCCTCTAAACCAGGAGAGTCAAACTGAAATTCACAGAGGCCAAAATGAAAAACTGGGACTAAGTCGTGAGTCAAACTAAATATTTATTGAATTTCAACAACATCTGCATGTTTTCTCTTCTTTCGAGATCTGTAATGTAAAATCTTTTCTTATTAAAATAAATGTTTAATAATAGTTTTGCTTAAACACTGAATCCAGAACAAGCAGAATATAAAATAATAACAACATTTTAAATAAATAATGTCTCTATAGTCGATCCTGTACACAGCAAAAAGTGAAGTGTTAAAATTGACTCTCACAGAATCAATTTTAACATTTTCTCAGAGTTTATCTGAGTCCAACCTGTTCGAGAGTTAATATGCAAAATGTGAAAACAGGAAAATCACACCATGTAATCCATTTATTACAACAAAGTAACTGTAATCCAATTACCACTCACTGAAACAGTAACTGTAACTGAATACAGTTACTCATTATTTGTACTCTGATTACTTAACTCCAGTACATGTAATCTGTTACTCCCCAACACTGATAATGAGTCATAGAAGTGATTTATTCAACATTCACAGTTCTGATATAATCGTAGAACAGAAAACAATCCCTCTAGAGCACAGGTGTTAAACATACGGCCCAGGGGCCAGATCCGGCCCTCCAAGACCTTTATTCTGGCCCTCGGCTGATTTTCTATTCAAATATTTTAATTATATTTTCTATTAAAATGTTGTTAATTTTCTGTGGTGTTTATCACAGCAGCGTCTCCAGCGTCTCTGTACGTGGCCCCTCCCACCAGAGCAGCACAAATGAAGACTTGTCTCTTTCCAAACGCTCTTAAAGGACGATCGTTTTGACTGTTGACCGTGACACCCTCATCAGAAAAATGTCCAACATGAGAAAAGTGGAGCCGAGTGCAGGATTTTTACAACAAAAACTGACTTATTCCTGTTTACAGACAAGTTCAAGTTAAAACTTTGTGTTGAAATTGTATTTTTCTTAAAGTTTCAGGTTGTTCATAATATTATAATATTTTGTAAAAGAAAGAGTTCATCAATTAAAAAAGATTTCTGTAATAGATTTGTGTTTCTCTGCACAAATATTTGAACTTATTGTTATTTTTGGGGTTTATATGACATGAGTTTTCTGATCCGGACACTTTGGGATCAAAGCCGGTTGGATACGACCCCCGGAACAAAATGAGTCTGACACTCCTGGTCTAGAGCAAAGAAAAAGTGCCCAGGATAAACACTGACCCCCCCAAAAAAACATATAATGAACCATAAGCAGGTATAGGAATTATCGGCGACTCCTGAGGTTACGGACTCTCCTCTCACCTGACAAAACGATCGGTCAGATTCTTCACGAACGAGTAGATCTGCGTCCAGTCTCCGGCCACACTCCCAGACCTGGAACACAACAGAGACAACAACAGAAGTAAGAGCCGGAGCATTCACACGCACAAAACAAACACAAAAATCAATAAGTCACACGCTATAAGGTGCACTTCATGTCCTTAATGTCCCGGTTTTATTTTCAAAGTCTGATCGTAGTGTTGTTGTCTTGATGAGTCGTGCTGATTTAGGCGCTTTTACTTTTCTACTTGGTCACTTTCTACGACAGAATGAATAAAAACAACAGTGAGGCTAGGGCTGGCGATATGGATCAAAAAATATATCTCGATATATTTTGCTATATCTCGATATACGATATATATCTCGATATATGTTCAAGAAAAAATAACCCCCTAAAACTGAAAACAGCTAAAACAAATCTGCCAAATTCCACAAGGTCCTTTTTTTAAACTGAAGTGTAAGAGGTCGACAGTTCATACAGGAACATTTAAGATGACAAAAACCCTAATTACATAAATAATAATTTAACTGTAAAATAAAAGAAATAATACATATTTCCTTCTTTTCATTCATAAATAAACCAACTCAACACAAGCTCATCTTTGCATTAACTCTGTTATCCAAACCAGAACCAGAACCATGAGCTCATTTAGCAGAAGAAACTCAGGATGTTCCTTATTTCAATAGATCCATGTTATTATCCAGCAGTAAGGAGCTCTGAGGTTTAATCCCACAATCCACTGCAGATCAAACCCAACGATTCCAAACACTATTGTACAAGTGACACTGCAGCAGATTATTTATTAAAATCTTCTGCATAAATAAACTTTACAACATATAAACATAACGACTCTAGATCCACATCAGCCTGTTTGAGATAATAATGTGTTTAATGCAGTTTTGCGCACGTGTGTTTACATTTTACAGAAACGAAACTTAAGCGCATGGCTCATTTGCATAAACAGCACTTCTCCTGCAGCTCAACTCGTTTAGCTTCTTTCAGACTAAAGGACTCGACTCGGTGGAACATGAGGATGTGCTGCTGCTGGTGGTTTTGTCTGTAAATGGTGGAAAAGGTTCATGGAGCTTGAAGCTTTTCACTGGCACCAACTTTCGGCGTTCACGGTGACAGTGACGAGTGAAGGAGACACGAGCAACAAAATCAGGGAGGAGGCGACGAGAGAGAAGATAAACAAGTGAAGCGGCGAAATCAAAATTGAATATAAACATTATATCGATATATACGATATGTCAGAATTCATATCGAGTTTAAAAACTATCTCGATATATTTAAAATATCGATATATCCCCCACCCCTAAGTGAGGCCTCAAAGTAAAATCCCGTTTGTTAATGGAGAGGAGCAGAAGACAAACAGACTGAGCTGCACTTTCTTGTTCTTGAGGTTTTACAGAAACATCACGTCTTGGTCTCTTTGCAGTGGAAGGTGCGTCTTGGTGAACAGTTGGCAGTGTTGGGAAGTTTACTTTTAAAATGTAATCCCCTACAGATTACAGATTACACACCCCAAAATGTAGTTTGTAACAGAATCCATTAAATTACTTAAAGTGAGTAATGTAATCTGAATACTGTGGATTACTTGATTTGCCGTATTAAAAATATTATTGATAGAAGATGAGGAGACACGTCCACGCAGCGTGGTTTAGTCCTGTTACATCCTGGTTTAGTCCTGTTTTCCTGGTTTAGTCCTGGTTTAGACCTGGTTTAGATCTAGTTTAGATCTAGTTTAGACCTGATTTTAGTCCTGGTTTAGTCCTGGTTTAGATCTGGTTTTAGTCCTGTTTTAGACCTGGTTTTAGTCCTGGTTTAGACCTGGTTTTATACTTGGTTTAGTGGTTTAGTCCTGGTTTAGATCTGGTTTTAGTCCTGTTTTAGAACTGGTCTAGCTCTAGTTTAGACCTGGTTCGGTAATGAGTGAAATTACAGAAAAAAACAAAAAAAATCCAAAACAAAACAAAAAAAAAACAAATGAGGATACAGCCCAAAATGTGAAAACAGGAAAAATCCTCTCCAACAAAAGTAACTGTAATCCAATTACCACTCACTGAAACAGTAACTGTAACTGAATACAGTTACTCATCATTTGTACTCTGATTACTTAACTCTGATACATGTAATCTGTTACTCCCCGACACTGACAGTTGGAGCCTTTCGCTTTGGCATTGATTTTTAAATTCGTAACTGAGGTTGAGTGAAGGATCAGGATTTTGTTTCGTTGTCGCTCCACATACAAAATGTTCTCTGTAAACTCGGGATGATTTCTTAGTCAGACAAATGTTTCCTTTTTGGTTCTTCCTGTGGATCAATCCTGCCCATCACCTTCACCTTTCACTATTTTTCAATTCCGTTGGGAAGAGAAACAGTTTGAACGGAGGTTTGAGTCACACACATCTGATTCACTTTTGCATTTATGGAGTTCACAAACACATTTGTCGAGTCGTTTTCCGCTGTTAGGATCCAACAACCACACAATTACGACGTCCGAATCCCAAAACTAAAATATGACAATATCAGAAGTAGGGATGGGCATGATTAGTCGATTAGTCCGTACTGTCCCTGAACACACCACAGAGTCACGTGTGTTTGTTTACACTCGCAGCCGTGCGCAACATTGAGATTATTTTCTTTTTACGGACAGTCGGTTTGAGTCTGGATTAAAAGGACATTTATTAGTTCAGACTTGTGATGTGGGAGGAGCCTGTGTGAGTCTAAGTGTTGAAATATGTCGACTTTGAAGCTGGTTTTGGTTCTTTGTTAGTGATTATCTGCTGTAGCTCCAGCACATAAACAGTCTGTTTTCTATTGGTCTATTGTAAAGTGACTTTATTGTCTGTATATTTGTTACTGAACCTGCATTGATGTAAATGAGCTGTGAACAGACGTGTGAATTATGACATTTGCGCATATAATTAATTACTGCGGCATTTACGGCTAAAGGCTAACAGCGATTGTTTATTTACTCGCTAGTAGTGACGGGTCGGTCGTGAACGAAGCGGCTCTTAGATCCGGTTCTTTGAATTGAACGACAGGAGCCTGATCCATATTGGAAGTCGTGTTTTCTCTTTCTCTCACTTTTTTCTCTTCACGTTGCGTGCAGACTCGTGGGAGTTTGACGGCGGCTCAAAACGAAACTTTCAAAAATATGCGTGTGCATAGGCAAAAAACAAAACAAAAACGTATGCATATATATATATATATATATATATATATATATATATATATTCAGCATAAAATAAATAAACCAGGACTAATCTTGGGTCTTGGGGTCGAGAGAGGGAGAGAGATAGAGACCGAGTCCAGATACTCAGTCCTGGTTTCGTCCTGTTTTACACATGGTTTAGATCTGTTTTAGTCCTGGTTTAGTCCTTTTTCAGTCCTGTTTCAGTTCTGGTTTAGTCCTGCCTTAGACCTGCTTTAGTCCTATGACATTTCATGTAAAGAGGCAGAAGAACAATAAATGTTGCCTAAATAAACTCAATTTAAAATCCACCAGAGCCAAACCTGAGTTTTTTAAACAATTCAAGATTTACAGTGAATTTTTACATCACTAAATATATCGGCGATTATATCGGCTATCGGCAGCTCCAAACCCCATTATATCGGTATCATATCGGCCACAACAAAATCCATATCGGTCGGGCTCTAATGTGCAGTAAAGTAATGGAGCGTGTACTTTTCCGGTGGAGGGAGAGACACGAAATACAAGAGTAAAAACCACAACACTTAACTCTTCAAGGGCAATTTTAGTTAATTTGTCCTCGCCTACTTCCCCTTTTACCCCCTAATGAAGTGTTTTACATCCTTTTTTCACTACAAACAGTTATTTCTCAATCTGCTGCTGTAGTTGTGTCATATTTCTGTAATAAAAGCTGCACGACCAGAAATACACATGAAAAAAATAAAAACAAACAAAACAAAACAAAAAAAACAGAAAATGAAACTGACACTCTTTCAAACAAACATGTATAACATATTTTCTGGAGTATAAGTCACACCAGCCAAAAAAAAAAAAAGCATAATGAAGAAGAAATAGCAAATATAAGCTGCACTTTTTGGGGGAAATGTACCTGGGTCCAGTCAAGCAGAAGTAAACAACAAGGCCAAAAATTCAAGTTAATGCATCTGATATAAAAATGTATTGAACAGATACATATGTACTCTAGTTTATCAAACTGTTTACCTTTTTTCTGGACCATTTTTGGTTCTAAAGTTCCATATGTTTTAAACAGACCATGTATGAAACATGGAACAAAAATTATTTCCCAAATTTCAAAGACCCAAAAATCATGTCAATAAATGGATGTATTTCATCATATCTTGTGTTATTCCATCTTTGAACTGTTGATGAAGGTACATGATTTTTTTTTTAAAAGTATTTAAAATGATAAAAATGTTCTTGGAAGGACTGACATATAGAAATAGTTTCCTTTCATTTTGAAGTAATATTAAAGTTTTCAGAATGAAAAAAGCGACAAATGATGTAAAATCCTGCACCTTCTACTTGTTTTGTACAATTTTCCCTCCGTTACTTTTCCCTCCGTTACCATGAACTTTCTTAATAAAAAATCTCATGAGTCAAAAAGTCAGAGGTTTTTCAACCTAATCTTGTACCATATGGTAGAAAACTATATGAAGCAAATATTCAAACCAGTTTGTTAAGGATATGGAAGTGAGAACCAAGAGTTATCACTGTTTGGATTTATTGACCAAAAAGTGCTGCATATTTCATTCCCTCCGTTACTCGCCCGTTTATCACGGGCGGTAAAGGGTGGAATGTTTGAATTTGTTGGAACAAATTCAAATGCTGCAAGGTCAGACAGTTTCTACGAAGTGAAATCGTCTGATGAATCCAGCTGCCTGTCGTCCTCCCTGATACTGAAATACTTCCAGACTGCTGACGACGACATGACTGAACGTTATTTACACTTAAGACGAGTCATGTTTTCTGACTCTTTGTCTCCCCCTAGATATTGAAGTCGGCAGAACAATAAATGGCCTCCTGAACGTGACCGCTGATGTCATGTAGTGTCATGTT